CTTCTTCTTGTTTGTATTTAAAACAGGGTATACAGGACGTACAGGGTCTCACTGCGTAGAACAGATTCGTAGTGATCCTCCTGTTTACAGCTCCCAAGTGCTGGGATTACAGGCATGCGCCACCACGCCCAGTCTCAATCCCAGCATACCCCCGGGGGTGGGGCTGGCATGGCAGGCCCTGGGGATCCAACTTCCAGCCCCTGTGTCTGCCTAAGCAGGTGCTTTAATCTGCTGAGCTATTTGGCCGGCCCCCTAAGTTCAATTTCTGGTACAAAAAAAAAAGTAAAAAGAAAGAAACAACAATTGGAAGGAAATTCAGGTCTTTAAGGTCCAAGACACATGGCTTGGGTGTCTCCAGACGTAGGGACTTCTGGTGTGATTCCTGTAGCATTTCTGAGCAATGCTGTGTAAAAAGGCCAAGCCTGCCGTGGGTGAGGCCTAGCCGAGTCAGTAAAGATGGGCTTAGCCCTGTGCCCCGTGTGACTGCCCCCTGGGGAAGGCTGCTTTCCGGCCTCTGTAGAGCTGGCCAACAGCACACAAACACCGCCACTCCGGTAAAGAATACCCGCGGCACGGTAGCAAGGGCAGCAACTGCTCTCTTATTGCATTGAACTGAGCAGAAGGGAAAAGGCCAACTGGTCTGGGTAAGTTTCCTACTGATTAGCGCCTGCGGTGTCTGATCACACCAGTGATGTCTCTGCCCTCCGATATGCTGATAGTTGTCTGCTGTGTCTGAATTAGATACTTCAAATTGGTGGTTGGACTGTACGCCACGAGCCAGGACCAGCTCTATATGCTGTCTGCCCGTATCTCTGAAAGGATCATTGTACGGGTAAGTTTTGTTTTTTGATTTTTTTTTTTTTTCCTTCTGGATTCCACTTGCATTTTTCTGCTACAGGAAGAATTTGAATTTTCAAGAACGTAGTGAAAGTATGACTTTTAAAAATTGGTGGTGGTGATGATGATGGCAAGCGGAAACAGTTGTTGGAGTTCCACATCGTAGTTTTCTTCAACCAAGGTCAGACTCATCCCTGGAGAATCCCAGGGCGATGTCTGGAGCAGTTCTGGTTGTTGCAACCGAGGTCTAGTGAATAGAGACCAGCGATGCTGCCCAAGTCCGTGCAGTATACAGGGCAACCCCAAGTACAGAAGTCTTCCTTCCAAAATGTTGATGCTGCTGAAGTTGGGAAGCTATGATTTTTACTGTGTTTGAGGCTTGAGCTAGACGTCTTTGCATGACCTCACCTGACACTGTTATACATTTACACTTTAGTCCTTACACCCAGAGAAATAAAGAACTGCCCCTCCACCCCCACCCCCACCCCCGAACCCACAGAGTAGGGAAAGTTCCATGAAGGCATTCTATGCCCCAAAGCCACCAGTGTCCCCTGGGCATCTGGGCCACCACCTAGTGCACAGGGGTGGCTTGTCACATGTGCTGAATGGTCACAGCTGTGAACGGCAATCTTGGCAGCCCCAGGAACATAGAGCTGTTGGCAGCTGCAGCTGCAGCTGTGTCAGGCCGGGCTGGCCCGCAGAGAATGCCAGAGGCATGAAGTGACAGGTAATCACAGGCCTGGCACCCAGCAAGGGCTGTGCTGTTCTAGGGCTTTGAAGTGATGATGAAGGTGGTGCAAACTCCAGTAGGGAAAATCGTTCAGGGAGGGCGTGCCCACGGCTGTGGCTGTTAACCATAAGCCCAGGGGAGAAGACTTGCCCTCTTGGGAAGTGGCGTCTCTCCTTGCCTGCCTCAAGCTGTCCTGAGACAAAGGGGTCTCTGTAAGTCTTTTAATCAATTAAAAATAATAAGTTGCCTACTGGTGGAAATCCTTCAATTCTCAAAAATTTATAGGCAGTGAAGTAACGAGAGAAATGAGGCAAGGTGAACTACTTATGTATTCAGATAGCGCCATGTGAGGGCTGGCCACACATACCCTGGGACCTGACAGAACCGAGGTAACTAAGGCTTTTCTGCGGTCATACTGAGAAGGCCACAGCCAACACAGCGATGTCTGTCTGTCCTTCACTGGGTCAGACTGTCCTCAACAACTTGCCTGATGTAACATGGGAATGTTTTGCTGTCATGTCTGGAAAGCTAGGTTGCTGGTTGTTTCCAATTTCTTATCAGAAAGAAAAAAGACAGACAACACTTTTCTTTTCCAAGTTATCCCAGACTAGCTCTCATGACAGGGCTGTGTTGAGCTGTGTAAGTCATGCTTGAGTGAAGCAGTCGGCTAGTCACCTGTACTCTAAATAATTTGCCTGATGACAGAATTTCTCCAGTCCTGCCCGCAAAGCTCTGTTGAGGCTGCCATACAAGCCCAGGACCACATGGGGAGAGAGAGCTTTGTTCTGCAGTGTTCTGTTAACTCAAAGCTCACTGCTAAGTGGAATCTCCTCATAGCCAAAGCACAAAGATGATTCACTCTGAGAAGCTGAAAGTTTCTGTAATTCATGTACAGTATGAATATAAAAACATCGCATTGTACTCAGCACACATTGGGTGTCATGCCATTTATTAATAAAAATTATAGAGAAATACATTTTTATTTTTAAAAATGATTGTGTCACAGGTGTTACATCTTCTGCCTAAGTCTCTTTTTTGGTTAAAGAGAATGAACGCCCTGCTCTGTAAGTGTGCTTGACAATGCAAAAACCACCCCCAAAGTAATGAGAAGACAACGCTGATGCTAACACCGCCCTTTGTGACCACCAGCTGGAAACTCTTTGTTGATATTATCATTCTAATCTCCAAACACAGAAGTGAAAGTGAATGCAGACCTTTCGGGCTACTTAACTGTTTAAACCAACCGAGAAAAAAAATCTGAATATAAGAAATGGCATTTTTGTTTGATTTGGAGAGTTGTAGAAACATGCCTAGTGCAAATGATGGGAACCTTGTAGTGCATTCAGTGCTATAAACAGCGCGCTGTGGCGTGTGTGCCTTAGGTTGGCCACCACTGGTGTATGCCACGGGTTGGGCAGAGGGTGGGTCAGCCTGTATCCTTACACAATCGCCATATGTGCCCTCTTCGGCCATGGCCTGGTTCTGTTAGTCTGAGCAGCAGGATGAAGAACAGGAAGACAAATTTAATAATCAAAGACATTACAAGAATTGGCACATTAAGTGGAGAACTGTAAACTGCCTCTAGTAAATCCAAATTCACTTGTAGGCTAAGAACCATTTATCTAAACCTTAGAGATAAGCATTCTATTATGTGCTGAGCCCACTGTTCAAGGGCTGCACATGCATGAGCCCCAGGCTTCCAGGAGGGGTCCAGGACAACAGCATTGTCTCTCCTTGAGAGAGAAGGGTAGGCAAGGGCTCAGGAAGTAATCGTTCATCTGGTTGTCAATCAAAACAGCTTTAGAAATGCATTATGTTCCTGTGGTGTAAATTGGGCAATTCAATGGAAATGAGGGTTTACTCCAAAGCACAGATTCATTTTCCAGGTCTTTGTCTTTGGGAGGGAGTGTTCCCCAGTGGAGTTCCTTGGACACCCCTTGTTAACGACCAACCGGGCTTTGCTTTGGCTCCACTTTCTTTCTGAAACACTTCATTACACCTGGTTTGCAATGCTGCGTTGCAAGCAGGAGGGATGATCTCTCTCTCTCTCTCTCTCTCTCTCTCTCTCTCACACACACACACACACACACACACACA